ACAGTAAAACTAGTTCAGTTTTACAGTAAAATGTTGTCAAAGGACAAATTAGTGTTTGTAAAATACAGATTTTAATGTGGACATACAGTAATGAACAGCTTCAGCCTGTTTCTGTACAAACAACATGTAAATTAATACTTTGTTTTCAGTGATTTTAGTATTTATGGTCTGAAGTTTAACAAAACAGGAACATTTTGGAGCTAAATAACAAAACTGCACAAATTTATATATGATAAAAAAAATCTGAAGGTGTATGTAGTTGATGCTGTAGCTGTGATCTGAGTGTAGGTCTGACTGGAAAACTATTTCTTCACTACTATCTTTAATTTAACGAAACAGGAAAAAAAAACAGCATTTTTTAAAATCATTGTCAATCCCTGATATAATTATTCTTTTAAATAATAGCAAATATCTGTAAAATAAAGATCTTTTTCCCTTATTTTTTTGCTTATTTAAATACAGTAAAACAAATGAAATTTACAGTAAAAATGTTGTAAAAGGACAAATAACTGTTTGTAAAATACAGATTTTTAATTTGGACATAATGAACAGCTTTAGCCTGTTTTTATGCAAACAACATGCAAATACATACTTTTAAAAAAAAATAGTATTTATTATTTAAAATTTACCAAAAACTGGAAAAAATATGCAAAATATCAGTTCAACACAGTTAAGCTTAAAAATCCTTAATATACTGTAAAAAAAAAAAAAAAGCAAATATCTGACAGTTTTTGCTGTATACATAAAAAACTGTCATTTTTGACTCAAATATTGTAAAAGAACAAATTAGTATCTGTAAAAAATGTAGATTTTTCAAATATTTTGGATACTATTCAGTTACTATCTTTAATTAAAAAAATCTGTAAAATGAATATCTGTTAAAAATCCTGTATTTTTAAAGGCGTGTGTCGATGCTATGACTGTCTTTGGTGAACGGCAGCATAGACAGTCGGAGGCTGCAGCAGCCAGACAGTAAAACACAGAGCCGGAGAGTCGGGGTCTGCAGCCGGAGCTTTGGGGGGTTGGAGGATATTTGCAGCTCTGACTCTGTTCCTAAAATAACCGAGTGGAGCGACAGCTGAAGCAGGTGGGCTGCTTTACATGCTGCTCTCTGCTGCTGCTGCTTCAGGCCTCCTCGCTGTGACGGCTGCTGGATGTTCGCGAGACACATGGTAGCGGCTAATTTAGCTTCTCTTCCTTTCTTTCTTTGTTTTTCATTTTAAAAAAGAGGCTAAAAACTAAATCTATTCGGTCCTCGGGTTAATAAATCACAAGGCTCCGTTTTACTGATTCACTTTTCATGATATTATTTTTTTAAATTTCCAAGAACCCTCTCATAACCAGAACCTGCCAGCAGATTTGTAAGAAAAAACTGACAAAATGACAGCATTTATCAGAGCTAGAAACCATGAAAACAGAAATAATCAGTCGATTTTTAACTTTGTTATGATGACACACGGTTCTGTTGGAAAAATTAACCAAATCTGAGTAAAAAATTGTTGAAAAATCACAATCAAAAATTTGCCACAAATACATCATTTGCTCTGACAAGATTCTGTAAAAAAAATAAAGATTCTGCACTCTAAGGTGGAACTGAATAGCTATAAATGATTAAGCTGTGATGGACAGTCACATGATGAAAATTCATGAACTTTTCATGTGTGTAGCACAGAAACAACGCAAAACTGTAATTCAGCAAACATCTATTGTACATAAAGACTTCCCCCCATATTAGGAACCTATTAGACACAAGTTTTATTTTTCAAAACGAATAAATGAAGCAATTCACCTTAAGTTTTTGTCTTCTTAAAGACAATTGGTGGCATTTTAACGCTCATACTGCACTAAGAAAACACCTCTAGTCGCAGTTGTGCTGCAGGATTTGATGTTGCCGTGAAAAATGAGCAAAAAGGAAAAAAGTGACACGAGTTCAGGATGTTAAATAGGAACGTTTGAACTTCCAGGAATAAACTGCTGCTTTTATTTTGATAAAAAAGCCTTATTACCTGGTCTGAATCAGGTACGTAAAGCGATGCTGTATGTATGTACTGTATGACCGCAGTAGGAAGGATCAGGATGTCCTGCTACGTCCGGTCACAGCTGCTTTATCCGTCCATCCTGACCCACAACCTCTGCACACAGGAACACACGTCACACTGTCTCCTGCAAAGTGTAAACAAGCCGAATCCACCGGGAGAACGCTCAGATCACATGTTAGGACCAAACAGCGCGTTGTGTGATACTGCACGCAGCAGTACGCTGCAGGAGGGCAGAAGGAAAGAGGATGTTATCTGGATGAAATGGTCTTAGGATGCAGTCGGGGTGAGGTCAGAGCCTCGTTTAGATAAGGAGTAATGACGGTTAACGTAAACCAACGCTCTGCAGAGCTTCGGCCTTCAAACAGTCAAGGAACAGCTTGTTGAGATGGGATATCACACGGCATAAACAGACGTATAGTGAGAGTCAACACATTTCCACGAAAACGAACGTCTGCAGTGAGACGTACTGATGTGGTACAAAAGTGCTGCTGTTGCATGAAAAGGTAAAGTTATAATGCACTCACACATTTATGGACACGACAACATGGAAGAAGTAGCTTGTTTCAAAACCAAACTTCACTTCCCTTTAGTTTTACAGACCCTGTAACACCACATAGCTCACACATGTTGAACACCCAGCCTGACCGGAGAGTTCACACACTGATTGTTGAGGTAAAAACTTTTCTGTTGCGTCTTCAGCAGATATAAAACCTTCAATAAGTGCAATCAAGTGTGACCGGACCTCTGTCTAGAGTCTCGTCCTAAAAATGGGGGATAATGAGACCTTTGCAAATCCTGAGGCAGCAATTTTGTTTTTTTTATTTTCTTGGCTTCATCGGCTTTCTGTCGGGATATAAACAAGTTCTCACAAGTGTAATTTTGAAAAGTAATGGGGCTCCGGACGGTGGACAAAGTGCACAAAACAGAGCGTTGGGATGATATCGACCTTCCAGGTTTGTTCAGGAGGAACTGAAGACACAGTTTATAGGTTGAGTTTGTATCGTCCAATGGCTGGGCAGTAAAAAACGGACTCAGTGACGATGCAGAAACAGTTTTAAATGGTGGCGATAAGCTTTAGATCAATGATTTTAATTGATCTCGGCCTGCAGCTTTTCCACCAGAGAAACATCCCAACTGTAAATCTAAACTAAACCACCTCAGGCAGACTGAATGAGAGATACTCAGGTTCCAACAGCAGGACCATCAGTAAACACTAAAAAAATCTAAAATTACAACAACGCTCCACTCCTTTTAGACACAGATGTACTCGGAGATGCCTTCACTGACGCTCAGAAAAAGGAGTGCAAGAACCTCCAGGCTGGAAAGCGGTGATAAGAAACCGGACTCAAATCTGACAAAAAGCAACAAGACACAACCAACCAGTCCTCTCACAACCTGTGTCCACACAACACAAAGGCGTTCTTATTTACATACACGAAACAACCCTTTTTCAATGATAGGTACTTGTTAGGAGCCTGGTTAAGTTTAGACAACAAACCTAGCAGGTTAAATGCAGGAAAATGTTACGCTTTGTGTTAACATTCGACACTTCCACAATGCGACTGAAGGTTTCCCTCCATTTTCTGGAGTTGCCACGGTGACACCTCATCCAACATACGATTGGTCGGCTGCAAAGGAGCGACAGCGAAGCAGTGAAATAAATATGTTGATTAGAAGCGTATCAGGGAAATGATTAGTACCACAGAGGTGTAGTTTTTGGGAGACTAAGCTGCATAAACGTATGTAAAATAGAAACAGAGATCTAGAAACAGAAGCAGAAATACGTGGCACGTGAGCAGGATGCACACCAAAGTAATCGAGGTGTTAAAGCAAGTTTTTTGCACAAGACTCCTGCACTCAGGATGACAACAAATCAATAAAGCAAAGAGACACCTGGAACCTCTGGGGTCAAAGGTCACGTCAAATCCAGCCTCCTGATATTCAGCAAAATCACAATTACTCCAGGTGTTTCGTTCAAAGATTTGCCACAAATGAACCCCCATGTCCACTCACGAAATTATGCACAAATAAAACATAGAAAATTGGAGAAACCTGTTTATATTCTAGATAACATACTGAAATAAATGTGCTGAAATTCTCCTCCTGTGTCTGCATTTTGTACAGATTTTCTACATTTAAAAGACATCAACATCAGTAGTATTCTACATATAGACAACACCTGTACAATGTTATGATTTCATCTATTTTTCTACCGATGCTCCTGCTTCTGCTTCAAATGTCCCCGCTGCAGGATTTTAAAAAAAAGAAGAAGTTTTTATCTTATCTCCAAACTTATATTTAGCTCCCACGTGAACCCGCTGCGACCGTCTCGAGGCCTGACTCGTCCCAGCAGACTTGAAACCAGAAACACCTCTGAGACAAGACTGAGACTTCGTCCCCCCCAACAACAACAACAAACAGAACCACTGATCCGTCCCACCAGAACCAGCACCAGTCTCCTCCTGCAGTAGGCTGCAGTCTGTCCACACTCGGCTCCTTGTTACTTATTTATAGCAGCTTGTTCCCCAGAGGCCGGCGGTAATTGAAACCAAATGTGTTGCCGGGGCCGATGTGTGGAAGTGGTGCCGGTCAGCCCACCCATTCTTCTCCCGCTCTGGCTGCACGCAAAGATCGTAGAGAAAGGAGGGAAAGATTCAGAGCAAACAGCGTCGCAAGTCACTTTTTTCTCGCCAATTTCGTTTCTGTACGACAAAAAGTTCCAGAGCTTCAACTTTTCACAACAAACAAATGAACCGAACCGCGTCAGTGTGGTTCTGATGTTTTGCTTTGTGTGTTTATTTTTATTTCCATCCCCCGAGCGGAGAGAAATAATAAATGTTTTTTTTTTCCACCAAGAGAAGCTGAAAAGGAGGAAGTTTAAGTCGGTCCGGTGTTTGAAGCTCGGCCCACCTCCTCCCCGCCCACCGCGGCCACATCAACAGATAACCAAACCAAACTCACCATTCTGTCTGTTCTCTCTCTTCCTCCGTGAGTCTGATCCTCTCTCTAGCTCCTCTCTTTCTTCCCCCTTCCCCTCTGGGCTGCCGCTGAGCTCTGCTGAACGTCGAGGTGCGTCAGGCAGATAAAAATGGAACTGAGCTGCTGCTCAGGAGCTGCATGAGGCCTTCACTGACCAGCTCAACGTCAGGCAGCAGCCACCTCTTTCTTTCTTTCTTTCTTCCTTTCTTTCCCCTCCCCTCCCTGCCGCCTCTGCTCGCTTGTCAGCTTTTTCCAAATAACAAACTGCAGCCCGCCTCTCTTGGCCGAGTCCCTGAGCTACGAGCTGTTTCCTGGACGCTTGCTGGACTCCCGTGACCCGGCTGTCTCCCGGCTTTCTTTCTTTCTTTTTTTTTTTTTTCCTTTCTGCTCTGGAGAGTCTTGTTGCTCCTCTGAGCTGCAGCCCTGCCCTCCGGCCAGATTTAGAACCGGAGACACATGCGGGTTTTGGAAGTTTGAAGAGGCGGGACTTGTGTCGGAGTGTTGTGTTGTCATGGCGACCCCTCCTTCTCCAGGTCCTGCCCCTCCTGTGTTTTATCAGCAAATACTCCAGGACGTGTTTGGAGTTTCCACCTTTTTTTTTGTCGCTGCTGTGCTTTAAAATTGTAGCTTTAGAGCTGCAACCATCTCACAAACTAACATTTCAAGTATATGTATGGAAACATTTGGTACAGCAAACTTCAAATTAGCCTCATATATTGTTAAATTCCAACATAAACACAACTTTGCACCTATAATGACAATATTTGACCCCATAAACACCATTTTTTGTTCCAACCGTTTTGTCAAAAATAACATCAACCTGTGACTTTGACTTGTCAAACTTCCCACACATCAAACTCTACTGATGTTAGAGCCTCAAAAGTTGGTGAAATGTTGACCACAGACTGTATTTTAGTAGGAAATATGGAAACATCCATACATATATACACTTAGAGGAACTTTCTGAGGCCACACTTTTGGATGAAAATGATTCATTATAGTAATTGTGAACAGTTACAAATCAGTTTTTGAAAAAAGATTCATTCGGGGAAAAATGACTTTTTGAGTCATTTGGAGCAACTCTGAGTGATTTTGGACACTTTTCGAATAATTTTGGATGATTTTGAGTCAATTTAGACAACTTTCAGCAAAAAAAAGAACTTCTGCTGATGAAATGTCGACCAGCGACTGCATTTTCAATAGAAATATGGAAACATCATATAAATACACTCACAGGAACTTTCTGGGGCTCAAATACCATCTTTGTTGGAAAAAATTTTTCCCATTTTCGAGGGCTAGTACTTAAAAATATCGTGACTACTTAAGCCCTGCAATCATTTAAATCTGCTGGAAACTATTCTGTCTGTGTCCTCACCACATTTCACGGCTGTGGGATGATACAAGTGAAACACAGAACGACAAAAATGAGACACAAGACGACAGAAAGCACCCAAACGAACCACAGCATGGCAAAAAACGAGACACAAGACGACAGAAAGGAGACACAAAATGACAGCTATGAGACACAAAAGGACAAAAAGAGCCACAAATGAGACACAACAAGGTAAAAACAAGACACAAGACGACATTAGGGAGACACAAAATGACAAATCAAGACACAAAACAGCCGAAAGCACAGAAATGAGACACAACATGACAAAAACGAGACACAAGACGACAGAAAGGAGACACAAAATGACAGCTATGAGATACAAAATGTCAAAAACAAGATACAAAACTACAGACAGGAGACACACAATGACAAAAACGAGACACAACATGACATAAATGAGACAAAATGAGAAAAACATGACACAAAATGGCAGAAAGAACACAAAATGACAGCTACGAGACACAAAAGGACAAAATGGGATACAGAAAGGAGACACAAAATGACGAAAAATTACAAAAACAAGACACAAAACAACAAAAAAGGGGGCACAAAATGACACAAATCGAGAAAAACAAGACAGGAAATGACAGACTGGCAATACAATTGCCCCAACGAGGTGTGAAATAACAAATATCAGAGACAACATGACGTGAACGGGGCACAAAAGAAAAATGAGACACAACATGACAGAACCAGTAAAACTACAGTTAAACCTTTAACATTTAGAGGTTCAGTAGAATCTGATTGGATCGATCCTTTTTACTGCACGTCTTAGTTAACTGGTGAATAAAGAGCATTTATGTTTTTAGCAGCTACGACTTCTGGCCCTCGGTTTGCATGTTTCGGATGGAAACGCTGCAGCTGGACGGCCTCGGCAAACTCCAGCCTCACGTGCACGCGCGAGTGCACGTGCCCGGCGACCAGCATGTGAGTTCTGGAGAAAGAGAGGCGGCGATTTAGAGAATGCAAATTCCTCTCCTCCACTTTAATGTTCTGTGGCCTGACGGAGGGAGAGGGAGGAAGAAAAAAAAAAAAAAAAGCCTCACAAAGCTTCTCCTACAAAGCTCCACTTTCTTTCCTCGCCTCTTCCTCCCGCTCTCCTCGCAGCCACACTGATCCCATTCTCTCTGCCGGCTTGTTTGTGGTGAGACTGATTTTGTAGGTTAGGGGAATACTTCATGCTTTGATGTTACATCCAGCAGTCTCACAGTAGCGCGCCTTTGATAAGAAATAAAAAAGAAATAGTGCTTTATTATTAAAAGAGGTTAACATCCGTTGATACAGCCGCCAAACAGGTTAAGCTGCAAATACGCCCCAATTTTTTATTTATTTTTTTTAAGCCTGCTAATTTCTATTTTCAATCTTTTTTCTTGTTTCTGCCTTTAACTCCCACGTAAGCATGGATGAAAATGCAGCCACTGTGTCTCAGCAGTGCAGCCGAGATGAAGGCAAGAAAAAAAAAAAAAAAAGAATAATAGCAATCATTGTCTAACAGGCGAAGCAAGTCCTGAATCTTAAGTGGGCAGCTGGGACGAAGGCTGCAGAAACCAGGGGGAAGCTGTGTGTCGTCCCTGGGCTGCGGCTTGATGATGTATTAATCAATAAATAAAAGGGGAAATCCCTAATAGGCCTGTGGTAAAGAGAGGAGGAACACGGCGAAGCTCCGGCTAATGATGAAGACGTAGCGGAGGCGAATCCGCGGGGGACGCGAGGCGGGAGATCTCGTACACGGGCCGACTCTTAAAATGAGGAGGCAGCCGCTGACGGAGCTGACTTGGAGCCGCGAGGAATAAAAAAAAAAAAAAGAAATGTCTGTGTTTGCAGTGTTTTATTTTATCTCAGTAAAAGTCTGAAAATACAAAGTTAGATTTGATTTTTCTTCATTTTCACAAAGTTGAGTGAATCTTCTGAACAATTAGGCCCCAAATTATTCACACTCATAACAAATATGGATCTACAGTGAACTTTTACTTGGCTGATCGGTTTGTTTTGGTGGGAAATTATATAAACAAGTGACGAAATATGGGAAGATTGGTTCCAGATGAATGTATTATGAAAGAGCTCATTTTTCCCGGTGGTTGTTTGCGGTACTGCAGCAGAAAAAAAACCACCAAAAAACTGCCGAGACGTCTTTAAAAGTGCAAACCAGGTCGGCTGTATTTATAAAAGGTGCAGTGGATCGAACGAACCTGCTGCAAAACCAAAAGCAGGAAAAATGATTTCGTCTTTGAGTTTATTAAAACGTTTACATGACGAACGCTGGAGGAAGAAGTTTAAAGGAGCAACACTAATGTTTTAAAATAAAAATATATCCA